TCCCCTGGGCCTCCAAGTAGGGTCTGATAGTTTGTGTGTGTGTGTGTGTATGAGGGGCTTTTCGTAACAAGGGCTGCTATACAGTTCGTGTTAGCGGATTTACTAAAAAGAGCGACAATGAGGATTGTTTTCTGATACCACTACCGGACCATGAGATAGCAATGAGGTATACCGCTAAATACGAGTATGCAGTGTCTCTGTCTGTTCGTGGGTACCACCTTTTCAAAATAGTGTTGAAATGCTGAATTTGTTGTTCCAGGTAGCTTGGTGAAGTTGTGTGCCATGGCGTGATGCTCTGTTAAACCGTGCTGTATGTGCTGTACGCATACCCTGATGTACTGTCGCTGTACAAACCGGGTGGACTTGGCATGTGTTCCATCGAACTAGCGATGGTCGCTGCGGACATTGAGCATGCCTCGCAGTGAATGAAAAGCCGGCCGTGTGCAGCCGCGACTTCCTGCATGAAGCAAGGCTTCGGCACAATGCACCTTGGACTGTGAACCCCTTGAACAGCGGATTGACGCTGGATCCGGGTTGCAGACATTTGCCAAACCCTGCAGCAGGTCGTAGTGCTGCATGATGTTGTAACCCTGCACAACAGCTTGCATGCGAGGAAGCAAGATGGATAAGCCTAAGCCCTAAACCCATAAAGCCTTAATCTTAATAACTGGCCTGCTCATCCTGCGCCACGAACTCTGTGTACTTGATACCAGCAGGACTCAGGAGCAAAACGAGGAGGAAGAGCGGGGTTCATGAACATGTCGTCTGTGCTTGGACACTGCTCATGGGAATTGCTGTTGTTTCTTTGTGTGAAAAAGAATTGACCAAAAAAATGACTACGATAAGCACTACAACAATGGCAACTACGGCATCCATCGCAAAGCTTCAACGCACTACGAACTTCGCCATCTTCGAGCGTCTGCTGCGCCCCCTCTTTCTGCAAGTCTTAATTGATGCGGTTTCTGGCTTGGCATACGTACAAGTTGCACCTACTCCTTACTGTTATCAGCATACCTTTTCTGTGCAGCTGCGGAGCGCGTAGTAAGCAGCCCCTGTTCGGACAGTCGCCGCTGCGCAGTTCAGCACATGCGTGACACCGAGTCGCTGCAGCGTCTGTCGGCCAGGAAGTGTTGAAACCATTCTAAACCCCCCCTACTTGGAGTACCATGGGACCTAATAAGTAAGGTTATTATAAGTCCCGTAATTGGGGTTATAAGTATAGTTACCTTAGTTATAACCCTAGTTACTAAGTCCCATGATCCTTTAAGTAAACTGTACAGTTCTGGTCCATGGCTCTGGGAATCTCAGGCGGGAGAGGAGAGAGGATTCCTACACACGCAGCAGATCGGCCTATTGCTCGATCTACTGCCTCATCCCTGAGGGTCCAAGTAGTCCTTATGTATGGTTTTAAGTACCCAAAAAGGCCCCAAAGTCCTTAAATAATGGGCACTTGGACCCTGAGGGCATTGGACTCTGACCAAACACAGCACTTGACAAGACATTCCTGAAGCTTTTCGTCAACGCACAGATCTGGCTGTCCTGGAAACGCATGGAACCTCTGTGGCACTGTAGGATAACCTTTTTAGAGGGGTTGTTCTAGCAGCTGTGCAACCCGCGCCCTAAAGCCACAAACCGCCACAACTCGCGGAATCCCCTCTTACCCGAAACCCCAGAACCCCCTGGGCCCTGAGCCCTTAAACCCTAAACCCTAAAGACCCCTAAGCCCAAAACCCGAAACCATAAAAATAAAAAAAACCTAAACCCTGCAACCCTGAACC